CATCATATAAATATGGGGCTCTGCACTTGCACGGAGCCTGTTTCAGGTAGATGCTATAGCTATGATTTGTTTGGTGGGAACCCCTCCCCTAGTCCCACCCAGGCATGAGGGAGGGATTCCTGCTCAATCTTCACTTCTTCTTCAACTTCCATCATGGATGCATCAGGAAGCTCTTTCTCCACTGTTGTGTAGGTAGCCTTGCCTTTTCAGAACCCTTTTACATCTCCTAAACCCTCCCATTTTTCCCCTCTTCAGAGATTTCTCCTGAAAACTCTTCTAAAACCTAAAAAATATTCCATCCAACCTGGGCCTTCTCTGTCCCTTGTTTCTCTAACCACATTGTTCCCCTTCTCTCTTCCTGCCTTACTATGGCACTCAAAGCTCTGTTTAGAAAATGGTCCATTGCAACAGCAAACTGGCCCCAACAGAGGGGCACTCATTTTGCCTCTTCTGCCTGGGAAAAAGCCATGTGGTGGAGGCCTGCTAGACCTGCTAGGTTTTCACTAAGCAGGCCAGGAAGCACAGGGCCAACCTCCTTAGAGCCAACCTATGGCACAGGGCCCTCTGCAGAGTCAAGCCCTCCATGCCTGCCGAGCTCCCCTCTCCCTCAGATGTCTGGGCATCTCCATTCACTCTGCCTGGTTCAGCCTCAACTGCAGTACCTGCCTTGGGTGACCTGCCAACCTCAGGCCAATCCACAAAAATTGCCAAGGCAAAGAAGCTCACCAAGAAGGCCAGAGCAGCAAAAACAGCAAATCCAGCCCAGAGCAAAGGTCACAAGAAGCGCACCAAGCCTAGGCACCCTGATGCTGCATACCAGGCACTGAAGAACATACAACCCGACCCCTCAGTCCTGCTGCATGAGGTCACCCTTGCAACCTCCATCTTAGAGGGTGAGATCTGAGTTCCTTCACACCCACCATGTGAGCATGAACCATCACTAGCCTTGGAACCAAATCACACCACTCCACTGTTGCTGATCCCTCAGGAGTTCCTTGGAATGGGACTGAAGACTGGAGTGGTTACTACCGCCACCCCACACAAAATGGCGTATGACCCATGGGACTCTTATTGGCACCATAAGTCATCTTACAAGCCCTGATAGCACTGGGATCTCTACCCAAATACACTGCTTCACAGCCCCTAAGAAATGTCTCATAGCAGTGCTACAGAATGTCCTGCCTTTGTTATGTGATACGGACTGGTTCACCTCCATAGACCTTAAAGAATCCTTTCCATCGTGGACTCCTACAAGCATTTCCTTCATTTTCAGATTGGGGATGATACCTTCCAGTTCCTCATCCTTCCCTTTGGCCTCTTCCCTGGGTGTTCATGAAACGTGTGGCAGTAGTCTATACCCACCTCTGGTTGAACCTGACATGAACTCTTAGTATTGAGGGACTGTCCTCCATCTGAAAGCCCACCACAAAGCCTGAAGGATCCCGCTCTAGCAGTGAACATAGCTGACATGGTAGAGGACCTCTGCCAAGGTAGCCCTGAAGTCTGTCAAAAGGCGATCCTATGTGCCAAATGGAAAGCCTTCTCCAACTTCACAGTCCAGCATGAATTCAGCTGCCTGATCCAACAAGTCCTCCTCTTGCTGAACTCCATGTTCCAATGTGGCCTCAAGATGGCATCCATCTGTTTCTACCTAGTCCATTCCCCACTCCAGGTGCTCTCCACCTTCTCTCACCCCTTCACTTGGCGGGGACTCAAGATCATTGCCCCAGTAATTTAGCCCCCCAAACCTGCCTGGAGCCCCTTCGCCATCCTCCAAGCACTCACAAAAAAAACCTCTTTGAGCTCATGAGCACTGTGGACCTATTACACCTGCTGTCCTGGAAAACCACCTTTCTGCTGAGGACTACCTAAGCCCACTGCTCTGCCTTGTAAATCTGGCTGCCTTGTAAGTGGACCCACAAAGCCTAATCTTCCACAAGGACAAGGTGGTTCTTCGCCCAGACCTCTTCTTCTTGCCTAAGGTGGTGTCTACCTTCCACCTCAATAAGAACATTGTCTTACCAGCCTTTTTCATCTGCCCAGCAGGCCCAGTTGAAGCATCACTGCATTATCTGAGTTTCCGAAGGACCATAGCTTTGTACAAGTCTTTCTGCCACTCATATGCTATGGCAGCAGAGGCAAGGGTCTCCCAGTATCCTCTCAGTGGCTGGCAGCATAGAGTGTGTGGATCATCTCCCTGCCCTACAAACTGTCTGGCTTTCAACCCTCTGGACCACCGTGGACCCACTCAATGCAGGCAACAGCAACCTCCATCATGTTCCACGCCAGCACACATCAGCCCAACCTCTGCAAGGTGACCACCTGGTCAAATCCTGATAACCTTTGTGAAGCACTACTACCTTGAGGTGCATGCCAGAGTGGACTGAGCCTTCAGCAGGGCAGTTTTAGCATCAGTCCTGTGGTAGTGACACCTCCTGCCTCCAAGAGGTAAGCTCGCCAGTTGCCCCCTATGTGTGATCACAAAGAAGAAAGTAAGGTTGCTTACCTGTAACTTTCCCATTCTGGGAGTGGTCATCCACGCGTTCACACAATCCACCCTCCTTCCACTCTTCAGTGTTGCCATTGATAGCACAGCATTCCCTGCCTGGGTTAAGGTGGGTCCATGGACCCCACTTCCATGACATGGAGCCACAGTGTTGGTCTCACATCATGGAAACTGAGGGTTGGGTGGGAAGCCCTCCTTTAGGCTGGGGCAGGGCTGGGGTTCCTGCCAAACAAATCTTCGCTCTAGGATCTTCCCAAAACAGCCTCCACACAGGTACAGAGCCCCATATATGTGTGAATGCACAGATGATCACTTGAAGAACAACTTTTACAGGTAAGCAACCTGACTCCCCATCAAGTGCTAATGATACTTATTTCATCCCTCCCTTCATGTTAGCCTGGCTGTTACTATAGCAACTATTTCTACAGTAGCTTCATACAGATTTAGACAATATCTGCACAGCTCTTCTACCCTTATCTCTACTACCTCAGCCACTCAATTTGCCAAGAGTAGAACAATTAATTTAGCAATGAGCCTTCACTCCATGACAGATCTTTGTTCAGTATTAAAGCTTGGGTGTAAGGACTTCTTAATCAAATCTGAGATTTCTTTGACAACCAGCTCACAAAACAGAGATGATTTCAGATCCTGTTATCAGTGGCACAACCTTGCATCTTTCATAGAACTCCCAACCTGTATTTAATCCAGTGATTCCTGAACCTTTTATTGAAGGGGCTCAGCAGCACCACTTGGGTTTTTCCTAGCATGACACAACTAGTACAAGCTACCTAAGCACTGGTGTCACATCATCTTTCTTAATATATCTTCCAGAAGAGATACCTGATGAACAGCAGATAGAAAATATTTCAGTTGTGTTAAGGAACCTTCAGGCTTTTGGTCTTGGGGAATGTCAACTTTTATGTCAGGACTTGGAAAACTAAGTTCTGCATTAGGGTTTTATGCTACAGGGTTCTGGTTTGTTCCCCATTATGCATATCAAGGCTAGAAGACCGAGTTGGCTCCAGGAAGCACATGGAACATTATATGCCAGCAGTGGCCGGGGTCCCACTACAAACTGGGAAGGGCTAGTCTGCTGCTGGCATGTGCTCCCCTGGACAGAGATGAAGCTTCCTTCATCTACCACCTTTGCCATGCAAGTGCAGCTTTTGGAAGCTGGAACACACTGGGACAGCCCCGGTCCCGGGAGGAGATGAGGGGACAGGGGCCTCAGGGGAAGCCATTGGAGTCTCCCTGTCCTGGATCCCCCTCCTTGACCTAAAGACTCATCAGGTGGCAATGAGGGAAAAAATGGTTCTTAAGGTACTGTCTTGATTTCAAGAGTACTATGAGCCACCAGGAGGATCAGTGCTGGGAGGGTGTGGTCACCAGGAGGGTGACCATACCCTCCTCCCTCAGTGTCCCAACTGTTGGTTCATATCCCATCAGCCACCATTCCTGCAATTTCATCCCACTCTGGATGGGTGGAGTAGTTCCTGCAGCAGCTGATGCTCTTTCCAAGGGACTCTGTGGAAGTTGCATAGCAGGACTGTGGGAAACACAATGCAATCAGAGAAAGCTTGGTGAAGCAAGGAAACCATAGAACAGGTGGGAGTTCCTTATTGTGGTTTCTAGAAAGCAAACATACTATTCTGAAATACTGTGGCAGGATTTGGACAACATGATAGACCGTCCTGCTCAAAACACCACTGTAGTTTTTGCTGTGTCATGCAGAAATTAGGTATGGATGGCTGCAGTCCTATGTTCACTTACCCAGGAGTAACTGCCACTGAATTCAGTGGCACTTATTTCTGAGTACACGTGCATAGGATTGCATGCAAGTTAGAAACCCGACCTATGCACGCTCACCTGACAGTATGTCCTAATAGTTATATATTTCTATGCAAACAGGCATAGGATTATGCTGAAGGATGCACAACTATCATCATATTTCACAACCAACACTAAGGATGCCGGTATTCTCAAAAAAAATGATTACATACGGCAGAATTCAGTTAAACAATAATGAATAGGAAACAGATGGGAAAATCCCCTGCACATTAGTACAAATTAGGATTGAGACTCACACAGTAAATCACGGTCTTAAATAAATCTTCTGTGCTAGAAATATCTCAGTATTTCAGTTCCCCAGAATAAGCAGAACACAATATTAAAGGAAGAAACATAGAAAGCTCTGGGATATTTTGTACAAAAATACTCTTGTCCCCATTTAATCTATTTATTTGTACACACTGTTTTGTTTCTTAAACCCAGGAATGCCACTTGAGACCAGTGTAAAGATGAATGGGAGGATCTGCTGGAGGAAATATGTATGTTATTCAGCCTCTCTCTGTGACAAGACATTAAAGTAACATTATCCTTAGCAGAAAACAAACTTGCCAAATGGTATAATAACTTCTTTCCCACTTCCCCAAGGACAAGAATAAATTTCATATTATTGACTCTAATTATGTCTTTTTTCTCTCCTTTTTTGCAGACTATGACAAAGAAGATGAGGATTCTGTGGGTAATGCCAGACATTACCAGGATGCCAAGAAGCCTTCTGAGATAAAGAGAAGCAGATCATCATCCTTTGTGTCATCCATTGAGGATGAACAGAAGCCCCTTTTCTCCGGGATAATCGGCTACCCATCTGTACTCGGGAAGGCCACGATGCTGGATTTGGAGGAGATGGTGCATGCAACGGAAAGGCTCCCCAGTGACAGAAGAAGTTACTCTTGCAAAGGTATTCAGCAAACTGCAGGAAGAGTGGGAGGGTGGATCACTGGAAAATAGTGTCACAGCATGCTTTGGGCTTCACAACGCAAGGGCCAAACATATTGAAGCATGGGCTGTTCATTTTTCCCTTCCAAGAGCATGACTGATTTACAGGGTCTGTGTTTCTACATAGGGTTAATACTAGTCTTCCTTGTCAGATTTGGTTGTTTATGTTTCTGTATCCTTTAACAGCATTCTGATGAACTTGGCTAACTGTTGCTGTGAAAACTGCCAATCATAGCAGCTTTGTAGCATCATATGGCCAAAAGAGGAATGCTCCCTTTACCTCTGCGCATTACCCTGCTACAGGGTATTAAATAGTATTTACTATTTCTTTATTAGATTTTGAGCTGCCCCATTATCAACACAGCTCCCTGGGAAGGCTACTGACAAACATACAATCAGTAAACTCATATTAAAAGACCACATAAGACATTAAATGCACAATATTCTTCTCCTAATCATAAAACAATAAAAAACACACCCATGTCAATTAACAGAACCTATGATTACAGAAAAGGCATAACAAAACTCTATATTAAAATACAGCATTAAAGCCAATTCTTAACAATTAAAATACTGGCAAAATAAAAAGATCTTTGCATGGCCCTGAAAAGAATACAAAAAGGGTTGCTGTTGTGAGGATAAAATGCAGCAATATAAGCAAGATTGGGTTCCTCACAAGAGGAAAAATGGCAAGATAGAAATGCACTGTAACAACAACAGCAACAACAACCCTGCAAGAGCAATTCCTAGGCACTCTCCAAAGGTGTGTGCCAAACAGATACCAATCATCCCAGATGCTGTAAGGACAGGCCAAAAAGCCAACCCTTTAGAGGCCAAAGGCCATCTGCTGTGGGAGAACAGCTACCGTGGTCAGTGTGGGCCATTCTGCCTGTTATGGCTTTGTGGCATTGCTTTGTGACATTTATTCATGGGTCAGTCCCATGGCATGGGCAATCATACAGGGCCTCCCCATGTTAGCCCCACTGCCTGCCTGCCTCCCCCAGGGAAGTCCCATGTGATCTGCCCATCCCACGCAAAGCAGTTCCTCAGCCTGCCCCTGGCATGGCCTGGGCCCTTCTTTTTAAATAAATCAATATAGCACTGAGCGTGAGAGAGACAGGAGAGCCACTCACAGACCTCCAGCATCTCATCTAATTTAGTTCCTAGTTTTCAGTCTGTGGAATCAAAATACCTTTCAAAATCTGAGGTTTTGGGACCCAAGTTAATGACAGCTTTGCTGCTCCACCTGTTGGCAAACCTCATACTGCATTTTTGTGTAAAGCACCAGATCCCCAGATGGGGAGCTGTGTTATATTTGATGCTGCATACCAAATGCCCAGATCATAAAAATCTGAGAGTGGGTGAAAGCAGATGGGCCTGATTCAGGAAGAGCCATTATTTCCTTCATTATGTCTTAACTGTGAAGATGCTGTCAGGGTGGATTTACAGCATAATTTTGCAAACCTCTTCCTGGGCAAGCCTCATGGGAACTCTGTGAGAGCAGTGTTTAATGAGTTATACCTTTATCCAAACATAAATTATTTCTTAATTTAGCAATCACATGTTGCCATAGCACCTTGCTTGGCAGATCGTGAAAAGCAAAGTGTGCCAGATTTGATGGCTAATACATGACATGAGAGAGGGAATAAATTATTGAAATGCCTAAGGAGATGTAAAGCATCAAAGATTCCATTGTTGAAATACCACCTTCCGCTCCAATTCACTTCTGTGTGCACATGCACATGTACACATTTGCATCTGATTTCTCTCCTTGCATATATTTGTTTATTGAACAGAAGACAGCATCATTTATATTCTACAATGTTAACTACTGGAAGATCCTGAGCTTTGCAGATTTATGTAAAATGCTGAGATGCATACATTTCTCATTTGGAAGCTCACCTTTTTCCTTCCAGCCACCAAAACTGTGTCCCTGCAACTATGGTAACATTTTCCAAGGCAACCTGGTGCAAACTGTACTCTGAGTTAAATTTAGCAAGTTTAAGCGGTGTGTATTTTCATCACGGCCAAACACAAACCCAGATAATTTCCCTTTGTTCCTTCCCAAAAACATCCTTTTTAGTGATGTTATTGAGAACTAATCATCCTTGATTAGGGATGTCTGGTGTGTGTGTGTGTGTGTGTGTGTGTGTGTGTGTGTGTGTGTTTTAATTATGCTCCATTCAGTCAGCTGCGGTTGTTTTCAATGACATTTTTAATTGAATTAATTTGAAGCACAGTTTTCTACAGCATGTCTAAATACATGGCTGTAGATATAGCAAATAATGAATGTATGCCTGTGCATATTAGTCTTTTAATCTGAAGATTTTATTCTTCTATTTGATCATGAATGCAGAACCCATTAATCCAAGAAATCATTAAAATTTCAGTGAGCAGATTTTTGCATATGAACTTGAAGTTCAGTGCTAAGCTAAAGTGTTAATTATACAACCAATTTTTACTGTTTTTTACTTCTCTGTTCCTTCCAATGGAACCATCGTGACCTGCATAAACTGTAATCAAGGGTCCACCATGCAGTTCCATCAGGCTGGTGATCATATGAGACAGGGTCTTTTCTGTGGGTGCCCCATTAGTATAGACCCTGATTGCTTTTAAACAGGCTATAAGTACCTGCTGGGTTATAGCTGTTTTTAATGGATGAATCTGAGATTGATCCATGCCTTTAAAGTGTTATTTCAGACTATTGCTGCCATTTTAATTACTGGCTTTTTGATTAAATTCTTGGTGTGTGCTATTATTGTGCACTCATATTTTAGTCTTACTTTAATTTGTCATATGTTTATTAGTATTTAATTGTACAAATAATTGTAAGAGACATGTATAACCCTAAAAACTGTACACGGGTAAATGAAATTGTTGAGGCAATTAAGCCAAAACAGCCACAGGGGACTGTTTGACCCTTCAGCTATTTCTGCTCAAATTGCCTTGGGCAGCCATTCTCATCCTGGTGGAAATACTTAGCCATTGCAGAATAAACAGCAACTGAAGGAAAGTAAGCATGCATAAAAACTTCAGCCTACAGTAAGCATGCATAAAAACGTCCTCCTGGCTTCTCCTTAACTTCAGTGATGAATTGTGAATGTGCAAAAAAAAATCCCAAAAAGCTGGCTCATACATACCACAGCCCCCCCCCCCCCTTGTAGGACAGGAAGGGTATAAATAAATGTTTAGAGACAGGATGTGTATTTCACACCTAAAATGAACCATGTAGTTTTTATACTACTTTCTCCACCTCCCACCCTCTTTAGAGTGTCACTGAGCATTTAGTTGTGCATGTATTTACCAAACTGAGACTTTTCTTCCTTTGCCCACTTGTTCTTCAGACCAATGGACGTCTGCCATGCATGTAGTTAGGAAAATCATGGACTTCGTTTTTCGTTCAAGATAGTGGTGCAACAAACTGTGATCCTCCAGATGTTGCTGGGCTACATCTCCCATCATCCTTTACTCGTTAGAGGTACATGGTGCAGCAGTCCTTCAACATCTGGTGGACACAAGTTTCCCAGTCCAACCTTGAGGTGAAGTCTTGTGCAGTGCCTGTGTCTATGAGGTACTTTTTCTTGCTGTGACTGCAAGAACTCTGCACCAGTGCACTGGCTTCAGACTCTCCACCTTCTGTCCATGGAAGGCTTTTGATGCAGTTGAGAAGTCCCTGACAGATCCAGGAAGAGGATTCACAAAACCCACATACGAGAGTTTGGCATGGGTTGTCCTTGAACTATGGGATGCTTTCAAAAGGTGGACTGTTGTGCTGCCAGTATCCATCCAAAGTAACAAGCTATGGCTCACAACCCAACAACAAGCCATGAGTTCTCTTCATGGGCTTGTGATCAACAAAGACACAGCTGGGTTGAGACACCATGATAACCCAAGTTTCAACAACGGCCCACAATCCAAAAACAGCCTACATTCAACCCAGACCCAGACTGTGAGCATGGGCTGTGAGCATTGTCTGAACCCAGCTAACACCTCTATTTGTCTGACTGTGTCTCTTCATTCACTCCTGTTTGGCAGACATCACGGGCAGACAAATCTGGGAGGAGGAACCCAGCAGGAGCCACCAAGAGTCGTCCAGTCAGTCAGCGTTACCTCAGGTCACTTGGGGCATCTCCGAAACAGAAAGCGAGATCAACTATGGCGAAGTGGAGCAGAGACTAGATTTGCTTCAAGATCAGCTCAGCAGGTAAAAAGGCCACGAAGGGAAGGTAAATGCTGACCCTCTCACCCTTGAGCATCGTAAGGGTGTTTGCATAGTTCTTCCAAGGGTTTGGCATGCTTCTCAGTGACCCATGTAAAATAAGTCAGTTTTGTATTACCTACTTCAAAACAAAGGGCTGAATAGAGTGATGGTAGCTGGCTATTATGGCCATCATACCATTCTGTGGCAGAGGCTAGATCTGAACTAGGGATTTCATGGTTTACAGCACAGTTCTCTAAGCCTGACGCCAGAAGTGAAGAACCTCCAGCTCACAGAACTAGTCAGTGAGCCAAGCCCAGCAGCCAAGCCCCCACTATGGCTCACAGAGCTCTTCCAGCTGGCCCCACTCCCTGTCCTTGGCCACACCTCCCTTGGTTGGGTTTTTCTTGATCATTCATATCCCTTCATGCTGACTTCCCCAGAATCTAAAACCTGACAGAGTAGACAAGGGAGAAAGAAAAGTACTATGAGCTCCTCAAATACTTATTGTGCCAGAAAAGCAGTTATTTTCTTTGGCAAAATATGCATAGGTAAGCCCTTTTTTCCTAATGTGCTCCACATAATTGTCTCTCCCTTTTTTCTTCTCAGTGCATACCAGGTTTCCATGGTTGTTGGTTATAGAGCACAGCTCTTGGCATTGTTTGAACTGCATCTGCTTCAAAGTGTTCAAAACATAATTCGTTTCAGCCAGTAGCAATAACAATAAAAATGGGCTGTAAAAATAATGTAGACTAATAAAACAATTCTCAGCAGAGAATAAGACAGCATAAGCAATATCATATATTTATTTCACCATCAACTGCATGACCATTGAGACATTTGTGTTAATATTTTGCAGCAGTAAAGGCAAATTTAGCTTTGGATCACAAAATCTCTTTGTTATTACCAGCAAATAAAAGTTGTAAATGTTTGCTGATTTGACAGGTGGACATGTGCCTTCAATAGCAACCAGACCACTTCATTCCACATATTTCTGGTGAGAGAACGAAATAAATAATGCAGGACAGCTTGCACTGCTTCCACACTGCAAACACAATGTCTGGTTTCAGACAACATGTTAATTTATGCTCAGGGTCTGAGCATCATTAAGAGTAGGTTGACATTGAACCATGGGTTAATACATGTATTTTCCTGTTGCCTGAATTCAGCTTTGCTAACAAGCCTAACCATGAAATGTCAAAGGTTTGTTGTTGAATTATGGACTGCTGTTTGTTCACCATAGCTTATCTTGTCTGGGTTCAGACAACATGATGCCCACATTTCCACAACAATCCCCACTCAAACCTGTGTTGTCTGAGCCAGTCAGTATCTTAAAAGTTATATAGGATGCTATGATATTGCCCATCTATGGCAGTAAAGGGCATTCAGTGAAAACTTAGCTATGGCAAAAGTTTTCCTTGCTGCAATTTAGGCTGAAATACAAAGAGTTGGTTCTACATGGCTAGAGGAAAAGAACTTATCTTTCTGAAATAGCTGCCCACATGACTTATGTCAATACTTTTTATCTTGAAGGAACTCCCAAAAGCAGTTTGAGATATGAAATAGGAATGTGTTGTTCAAAAAAAAGTCTTCGGTATCCCATTGGCCTTGCCCATCCCTTTTGGTGTGCCTGAAGAACTTGGACTCTGGCCATAAATAAACCTGAGCAGTGATACTTTTCCAGTCTACGGTGATGCATAATAATTCAGTATCAGTATCATTTGGATTTGAAGAAAGCTAATTCTGATCAGAGGCCTCACTCATTTTTCATCTTAAATTCTAATTTAGCCTGATGCAGAGCCTGGAACATAAACTAAAGTAGATTTACCAGCTTATGTAGTTTGACCAGCTTATATATTCTTTAACCTGGGTTTAACAATGCTGGAAAGCAAATTGAAATTATACATGACTTGAGATGCCTATCTTTTGCCAAGTACATTTGTATTCACTAAAGAGCTATAGATAATTTGTACCAGAAATAAGCTGTGTCTTATAACTGAAGGAGTATCCAACCGGGTGCCAAAAATAGCATTTACACCTGCAGGTTTTGTCCTTCTGCTGACGGAAGGCTCTTTGATCCGCCCAATTCTTCCACCAGTGAAATGATAAAGAAGGCCATCTGGCCATTCCCCTGGCTCCTTCAGCATCTCCCGCCCCCTGCCCCATAATGCCACTTTCCACACTGTTCCAAAAGAGCCTCTGAAACAAAGCTTGGGAGCGTGTGGAGACCTGCAGAGAGAAGGGAGAATTAACAAAAATTGCCTCTCTTCCCATTTCACAGACAGAAGCCTCTACTTGAGCAAAGATTCATCCCTCAGTGGGTAGGAAGAGGCTGGGAACCTAAATGGGATTCAACCCTTGGTTCTAAAAGTATTCCAAATCAAAAAACCCATAAAACGAATCGGTTTAGATCCTATTATTATAATTACTTTGTGGTTATGTCTTGCCATTTTTCCTTTTGTGAGAAACCCAAGGCAGCTTACATAGCTCCATTTTCTTCTTACAACAACCCTGTGAGGTAGGCTGAACTGAGAGCCTGTGACTGGCTTAAAGTCACCCACTGAGATTCATGGCCAAATGGAAACCAAAACCCAGATCTCCTGGATCCCAAGTCCAACACTGTAAGCATCACACTGACATAGAATCTGTGGGTGTAATTTATTTTTTAGGATTTAGAAATGAGACATGGTTTGTCTTTCACAGATCCTCCAAAGCTCCAGGGTAGGATGTGCCATTTTAGTCCCGGAACTTTTAACGATTCTGGCACCTGTAACATCTGGAGCGATTGCATGTGACTTATTCCTGACCAGCTTTATGATTTCAGTTGGAATAATGAACCCTGTTAGTCGTAACCAGGCAGTGATTGCTGCAGCCAAAAGGAAGCACACTGAAATCAATAAAAGTATTGGCAAGATTTGATGAAATACAAACACCATCTACCAGACTCATCCTTAAGGCAGAAATGGAAGTAAAGATACCATATTTATCCTTATGACTCATTTCATTTAAGGATTGAAGATTACATTTGAAGAGGGCCTCTAGGTGAAAACCAGCAGGATTGATTTTATAATTTCTTAAATCTTGGAGCATAAAAATAATAAGCAGTCTTCCTCATAACCAAATGTAACCTTTAGTGCTTTATATTGCTGCCCAAATGGGTGTTAAAATCCCCTGTCGGGTCAATATTAAAGTCAATGTATTTATACTGTATTTAATTTGATAGTGTATAATTTGTTCCAGGTTAATTCTCTATAAAATTTGTAGTTCCTCGGGGGGATACAGATGTTAACTATGAAAAGAAAGAAAGCTGTTTTCAATCCAAACCCTAAATACTAAGAAAAATATGGTGCAGGCTTGTTTCTTCAATTTTATAACTATGTTAACAAAAATGACAGAGACACCAGAGGTTCTTCCTGCTTCTACCAGTGTATTGCCTTCAAACCCAAACAAAATAATTTTGCCTGATCAGAGGGTGACAATCCAAATTTTCTGTAAACAAATAATATTATCTCTTAAGTTGTTCTTGAAAATCACCCCTCGGGAAGTGTGTTTCAGCCAGCAATACTTCAAGAAATAGCAGAGGGCAGCTTTTATTCCCCATCCTCTCGGGAAGTCCTAGTTGTCTTTGGGACAACACATTTAATCAAACTGAGTAAAACAGCCACAACAACTACTTCACTCAACATTTCTTTAATGGAAGTTCAATTTTCTACCAGATTTCACTACATTGCAATGAAGGCGTCTGCCATAATTCTTCATTTTTACACTGTCTAGAATTAATGCCATCCAGAATTGTCTGTCAAATGCAGTATTCATTCATAAATTCATTTTATTTGTTGAGCACCCTATAAAACCAATTCTCTAGCTGTCAAAAGATATCAATAAACCCATAATAGCAGTGCAAATCCAACAACACCACATTAAAAAAATTCATTCCAGTGTAAGAACAATTATTTCAAGAGTTAAAACAACCAGAAAAGAACAGGAGCTAAAGCCCCTATCAATACCATTTTTTTCTAAATACTTATTCCCTGTATATTTCCTTCCTTTAAAGCAGGATTGGGCAACTTGAAGTCTTCCAGATGTTGACCCACAGCTCAGCCACCTAGCCAATCATGTGGAATGATGGGGTTGTATGCCACAACATCTGGTGGTTCTTTCTCTCTCAATAAGCATTTTATACTTCTCAAATGTCTGTGTGTTTCCATAAAATATCTGTTGTTCTTTTGTTGACAAAGTACACATTTGGGACATTGCCTTTATAATCAGAGATAACATTAGCTTTTTGTTAACTTTTTGTCTGCTCACATTAGAGTGAATTCGGGGAAGTGGGTGGGCATGCAGGCCCCAAGTCCAGCATGCCTGTTCCATCAGTTCGCAGTCTTCCTACACTGAGCGCAGAGATCGGAAGGTTGCGGGGAGGGCACTGCTCACATTCACTTGGACATAAGTAGAAGCTTCTGTGCAATTGAACATCCTAGTCATGCCGAGGCTTCTACTCACATTCAGGTGAATACAAGAAAGAACCCACTCAGCAGCACAGGGACAGAGTTGTTGTAGCTGAACCTTTCACACGTCCCCACTCCCAATTCTAATGGAGCTCTGTTTCAGGCAAACTTGGTTGAATTCAGATTAAATGCAGCACTAGATATAAATTGTACCTGAAGTTGTATTCACAGAGATGCCCCCTTGTTGAAGGAAGATTCTTGAGTTAGTTGGGGTGAGGCAATTCTTGGGAAACACCAGTGTTCTTGACCCATTCCAGTCTGGATTCAGGCCTTGTTTTAGGAGTGAGTCATGCTCAGTCACCTGATGGATGAGCTCCACTGAGAGAGGGATGGGGTTGGGGTTCCCCTGTGGCTCCTTTGTGTCCATAAACAACTTGTGATACCATTGCCCACTGACTGTGGTACCTCCTGGGCCAACTATATGCTACTGGCCAGGCTTAAGGCTTCAGTACTTGTTTACAGCTATAGACCCAGTTCCTAGGAGAGCACTTGATCAGT